CTGGGCGCTGCGAGACCAACTCAGCAGCAGCCCAGTTGCTCTTGGGGATGCCTGGACAGAGCAGCTGGGGTGGTGTTGCGTTGGTCCCACAGCACCGAGGGGCAGCGCTATGGGACCAACCTGGCAGCACCCCAGCTGCTCTGCCCCCAGCTTCCCCAAGTCAGCAGTCAGTTTCAGCAGCAGATGAATCGGGGAAGCCGGGTGCAGAGCAGCTCCAATTGTCCGGCAGCCAGAGCACTTCCAGGTTCCTGATGGTGCCAGACCATCAGGAGTGCAGAGCATTGGATGCCGGACCAATGGAGTTTTACTGTAGTTCCAATTACACAATATGCTAAGGAGGACAGGTCCTTTTGCCCTCTCCCACAAAAGAATGATATTCCAGTTAGCCCTGCCATCTAACAAAGCTGTAGCCAGGCTTTCCCTGATAAAGAACCATTACACTGCTTCCAGAGATGTGTTAGAACAAGACAGTGACAAACTGGAAATGCAGCCCAAATATTCCTGTTTCCACTCTCATGTCTTATGTACTGTATCATGCTAAGTCTAAATTCAGGACGTCTTGCCCTACAAGCTAAGTTTAACTTTTAGCCTGATTTTGTACATTTCTGATTAAAGTATACACAAATATTAGTAAGGCTCCAAGTTTATCATGGAAGTTTCAGAAGTCATGGATTCTGTCTTTCTACTACTTCTGTAAAATTCTGCAGCTATAGCAGCCAGTATGACTGGCCTCAGTGCCATCACAGCAATTGGCATCAGAGCCAGCCCATCAGGTGGCATGATCCCACAGCCAAGTGCACCAGCCACTCCTGGAACCACCCTCAAAGCCAGCTGCACCAGCTAGCCCAGAGCTGCAGCAGCCTGGAGGGTGGAAGAAGAACCCTGGAGCAGCTAAGATTTTGTCACGAGTATTTTTTATAAAAGTCATGGCCAGGTCATATTATCTGAATTTTTGTCTGTTCCCTGTGACCTGTCCATGACTTTTTCTAAAAATACCCGTGACTAAATCTTAGCTTTAAACATTAGTAACACTCATCATTGTGGAAATGTATGCAAAAATCAGAGCATAAAACTTGATTCAGCTGATTATATTTAAATTCACCAGAAAAGCCATTCTCAATAGGCAATTTGTTTCCTTTTACTTCCTTAAACAACCTGTGATAGGTACTAACCTGATCAAATGCTGGGAAAATGTAGTCTGCAAATTGAATTTCTGCAATAGCTGTAGCTCCAGCAACTGCAACTCCAATACCAAATCCAACAATTCCTTGTTCACACAAAGGGGTATTGAAAACTCTGTCTTTGCCTGTAAAACAAAGAGCTCCTTTAATATACCAAACTGTAAAAAGAAAACAATTCATCTTTTGTCCCCAGAAGTATACAATTTACAATATGCCTAATAGTCATACACTTGTCAATCTCTGTGGACGGCTTGCATACACCTATAGTAGGAGCTCACAACGCATTTAAAAAACATTAGTTAAGCCTCGCAAATGTACCTATAATGAAAGGAATTATTATTATCCTCATTCAACAACAAAAATTAAAGCCATGTGCCCAAATTCAGCATGAAAGAGCTAAGCACATAAACCAGAACTAATTTCCAAACCAATGCTCTAATTGCATGAGCACAACCCCTCACATATTGAGTTGCTGCCTTTGACAAAGGTCAAATTATAAAAGGGAGAGGCCACAGTCTAAATCCTGGTGAACTGATTAATAGAATCCAAACTCCTAGAGTACAAAAGTCAAACCACCGAGTGGAGAACAGGTGTAATGACCAAGTGGTGATATTGTGCCTGGACATGCTTGGCAGAAATAGACTTATCTACTGCATCAAGTTCAAACTACTATACTCAGGGATCTTCTCAACTATGGCCCTTCCTAATTGGACACTTTCATTCTCTGTTGCATTTCCCCTACCCAATGATGTAAAACTTGTCCAGTGCTCTCATCTTTATACTTTCCTGCAAACTGCCCCATGAAGAAAATTCCCTTCATGAGCTGATGTAGAAGGCCCCTTTCCCGCTCCTCATTCAATACCCTCTTCTATACCCATAAAAAACCCCACTCCCACCACACACTTTTAGTCATCTAGTAATGGAGAGCACAACAAGATAGATGGGTTCTTATGCTGGCCAACACTGTTAGCAGCAGTTGTAACTCTGCAGATTGGCTAAATATAGATAAAAATCTTTAATAAAAATTGTAACTAAGTAGTAAGTTTCATCATCGAACACAAAATCCCCAAATGGCCTCTTCCTTCCCACTGCCCGTGTAGATCTCTTTGGCTTTCTGATACCCTGTACCAGACGAAGAAGGGCAGAAACCTGAGTGCCAGGAGTAGAAAACAAACAACTGATACAGACAGGCTGATAAACGTCAGATCCCTCTCCTGTCATCCATTTCCACATCTGAACTTCAAAATTAGGAGAGTTTTCAGATTCTGGGGTTCGGGTGGGGCATGTCTCTACTACTTTATCTTTCCTCACAATACATTTTTCTTTTTTGATTTTTAGAAAAGTTCTTGCCAAGAGATTAAACCAGAGACATCACTATTCCTGCAATACAGATCCTAAAAGGAGCTAGATACCTATAACTCCAGGTGATTTCAGATCATAAATGAGGTGATTGTCATTGTCCTCTTCTTTTACAGAGTAATTCCGAAAAGTTTTAAAATATTATGACATCTTCAATACTCTTCACCTTGCTATTCCATTTGAGACAGGTTCCTCCATCTTGGACACTGAATATATAACCACTAATTGAGGTGTAGCAAAACTCACACCAACTGAGAAATATAATAAGCACCAAGATAAAACAGACAGTAAGAGGTAGGAGTAGCATTAACACAAATTTGAGATGTTTCTCTAACAGATGAACTCAAGAAATATGCCAAATTAGGAAGAACTAGAAATCTTAATACACTAGCCAATTAGCCCGTCATAAGATGGGATTTTCAGGTCTCTCCTGCACATCGGTCTTTTCTCCTGAGCCTCCGGTCTCTCACTCTGTGTCTCTTTCTCTCTCACTCCTCCTTGTACTGCCTCTCCCCCTCTCTCTCTCAGCTCTCCTCTGCCTCCTGCCTCTCTCTCTGTCTCTCTCTTTCTCTTCCTCCTCCTGCCTCTCACTCGGGTGGACCATGGAGCACAAACGGTCATTTGTGCCACTTGCTCCCACGCGGTGGCCCGGCTGAGCAGCACAGAAGTCAGCTAAGCACCACGGTGGGAGGCAACAGCGCCCCCCAGAGGCAAGACATAACGATACAGTGTTACAGAGTCACAGACATTGGGCTACTATATATATGATGAACTGAACAATTTAGCTAACAGCAGAGAGATAGTGGATGGTTGGACAGCGCTTATGTTGACATTCCATACACAAATATAACAACGCCCAGACCAATTCAAAACAATGGTCCATCTATCCTCTCATTTATCCTTCCAATAGTGGCCAATACCAGATACTTCAAAGGGAATTTACAGGATGAGGCAATTTTCAAGTGTGCCCTTGTTGCCACTCCCAACTTCTTTCACTAAGAGCATTGGGTTTGAGCTCTGTCCATCTCAGCCAACAGGCATTCATGAATCTATCCTCCATGAACTAATCTAATTCTTTTCTGAAGCCAGCTATAATTTGGCCATAATATCATCCCCTGGCAATGAGTTTCAAAAGTTGATTGAACACTGTATAAAGTAGTATTTCCTTATGTTTAAACCTGCTGCCAATTAATTTCATTTGTTGACCCTTAATTGTCCGTTACCTGAAGGGGTACACACTTCCTTTTTCATTTTCTCTACTCATTTATGATTTTCTAGACTTCTATCATATCTTCCCCTTAGTCATCTCTTTTCTTAACTGAAAAGTTGTTCTTTTAATCTTTCCCCATATGGAAGCTTTTCCATATCCCAAAATCACCATTGTTGCCCTTCTCTGTATCCCTTACAATTCAAATATATATCTTTAAGATGGGGCAACAAAAATTGCATATAGAGTTCAAGATCTGAACGTACCATGGATTTATATAGTGGCATTAAGATGTTTAATGTCTATCTATGCCCTTCTTAATTTTTCCTAAAATTCTTAGCTTTTTTGACTGCTACTGCATATTGAGCAGATGCATATAGAGTGCTATCTACAATTACTTCAAGATCTCTTTCTTCTGAGATAAAGTTAATTTAGATTCCATCATTTTGTATGTGTAATTGGGATTTATATTTTCAAACGTGCACTACTTGGTATTCATCTGCCACTTTGTTGCCCAGTCACACAGTTTTAGGAGATTCTTTGTAACTCCTGGTAATCTGCTTTGGATTTAAAAAATTACTCAGAATAGTCTTGCAAATTTACTCTGCAAATATTGCCACTGTTTACTCCTTTTGCTTTGGATTTAAAAAATTACTCAGAATAGTCTTGCAAATATTGCCACTGTTTATTCCTTTATCTAGATCATATATGAATATGTTGAATAGCATTGGTTCTGGTACAGATATGCACCACTATTTATCTTTCTCCATTCTGAAAGTAGAACTTTATTCCTAGCAATTTTTTTCAGTGTTTAACCACTTACTGATCTGAGAGGACCTTCCTTCTGCCTGACTGTTTACTTTGCTTAAGAGCCTTTCATGAGCAGCCTTGTCAAAGGCTTTCTGAATATAGAAGGGCATAACATGTGTAAGAGAAAGAACAATGAAAAAGGGTGAGAGGGTAAGTTCTACATCAAGGTCATGCTCTTGTACACACATTCTGAGGGGTGTAAACATATGTCTTTGCGTTCCAATAGGGAGAAAAGAGCAAAATGTAAGGAAAACCACAGATAATATTAATAAGATGCTTTATCCAAAACCACTGAGAGTAGGAAAAAGACAGATTTCCTCAGAGACCCGTCTGGAGCAGCGTATACCTCCCCTGAATTTCCCAAACATGCCCATAGTTCTCAATTAGTTACTTTCTGTGTTGCCTACGTAATCATTTTGCTTGGTTGCTGTGTTTGGTTACAAATCACTTGAACGCTGAGGTAATGAAATGTTATTGCAGGAGTGGGCAATAATTTTTAAGGGGGGGCCAACTTCACAAATTTTGGTCCTTGGTCATAGCCTACCGGAATGGGTGGGGCCTTTCGTAGAAGGAGAGGGGAAGCTGAGGCTACAGAGAAAAACAGTGTTTGTGTGTGTGAGTTACTTTGTATATGAGAGAGATTCTGTGACACAGACTGAGTTTGTGCAGCACAGTTACAGGAGAATGTGGGCAGCCGTATGCATGTGGCACAGTGACTGGGAGAGTATGTGGCAATGATTGTGTGTAATTGTGACACAGAGAATGTGTGTGCTGGCTTAGTTTAGGAGAGTAGCCATATGGATTGAATGGGGCTGAGTGAGTACTTAAGTGCCTACCAAAGGAAAAAAAAATTAAGAATAATTAGTAGTAGTTCAGTATCAAGTTAAGATTGGTCTCCATGTGACGTCTCACTGGACTTCATTCTGAATAAGATAATTTAATATCTTCATGTATGATTGGGGAGATGGAATAGAGAGTATAGTCTAAAACAATTCACAGGATAACACATTGGGAAAGACCGTAAATAGATGAACTATGATGAAAATTATCCTTTAAAATTGTATAAGAAATATTCATTTCACTGAGCTGTAACAAAAAATGAATTTCACAGTAAAACAGGATTAAGATTTAAACACAATAGCAAACCAAATCCCCAGAACCACATCCATTTACATCTATCTACATGATAAATATCATGAAGAGACTTCCCACTATTAGATTCTGTTAAACATACAGAATCTTTAGTTTATATTGTTTGAAACAGGAAAGCGGGGTTGTAATTCTGGCAAGAGAGATGGTTATTTGCATTGCCCCTTGTAAGCCATTTACTCAGCAGCTGAAATTTCAAGTCAAATAGACCAAAAAGCTATAGACACATTGCCTTTTTATATCTTTGTTCATTTCTATGGAAATGAGATGTTTCCTAAAGAATATCTGTTCCTGTTGCCTGCGTCAACCAAACAGCCCAAAACAAGGGCACAGAAACTCTTCAGGCTGACTTCTGCCTATAGGTGAAAGCCGTATCTCTACGTTATTGGAAACCATGTGCGTCACTCTCTGAGGAAGGCATTATGGTGCTGTCAATTTCAATTAACCTGCCTAGCTTTATACATAGCCCTAGCTTCAGCCGTCTGAACAGCCTGGTGCCCTTTTCCAAGAAGTGAAGGAAATAATATGACAAACAAAGCTGCATGAAAATTGGTAATTCCCCCTCCCCAGTCATGTGTAAACAGGACTAGGTATACATGT